CGTTCGTTGCTGCCTCCCCCCCTCCGGAAGTTACCCCGTCTTGTTTCTGTGCCGCTCTGCTTGCGACTGTTGTTCCTTTCTTTCTGGGTGACACTGTGGTCGTTGTTATTAAGTGCTTGAGCAGTCTGGCATCGGTAGTTGCGCAGGGGGAAGGGATATAGGGCGAGAAGAGCAGCGGAGCAGTTTGGCCGACTCCTTCTGTTGCTCTTCTCATCATGTATCTCTTCTTCCATTTCACGCGCGGGATGTTTCGCCCTTATGCAAGTCGTGCTTCCCGACTCACGGGCGCCTATTCATTCTGATCCATACTACTACGCGCTGTTCTTCCGCCCATACTGTGGCCGCAAGTTCGCTTCGCTAGCATCATTCCACAGATTGTTCGATAAGGACGTCGAAGGTCACGCTCAGTTGGTCTTCGACACGGATCTTTATGGTTCGTGTGGCGACCCGTTACTATCAAGGAAACGGCCTGAGATCAGCCTGAGCTGCCAGTGAGCACCTCATCGCAATTCTCAGTATGAACTTAGGCGTAAGGTCTCGACCAGACACTTGTAATTTCTGCTCAAATATCTTTCTTGCTACGGTCCCATGTATCCTATCTCCCTTTCAAAGTGTATAGTAATATACCAGGTTCATCGACGTCAAAAGTTCTAGATACGTCGCGATACCTCCCTTCAAATCACGTATACGTCGGTGTGCTGCTAGAGTCAGCTAGCCAGCGCGATCACACGCGTCCAAGCATGCGCTGACGAACTAGAGAAGGAAATACGCGGCGCCGTTGCTTGTTAACCACCGTCGATGGCGTTGCTAGGCTCTCTGCGCTCGTCTCGGACGTATCGTCGCAAGGCGTAGATGACTTGGAGGCGTCGACGGTGGTGGTCGCCGGCGCGGTCGTAGTCGCCCCTGCACATGTGCATCCGCTCGCGCTAGCGACGGCTTGTTCAGTAGTATCAGTAGTGGATGCGGTTGCAGCTTCCGATGTGCCAGGGACAGTGGCTTGTGCAGTCGTAGCTTGCACAGGAGCGACGTCCGGGTTCGTAGTAGCACTTTCTGAGGATGTGGACGTTGCAGTTGTCGCTTCGGACGTCGTGGCTTGTGCTACACCGGACGCTGATGATGAAGGCTGTGATGCCGACGGCTGGGATGAACTTGTGGTTTCTGAGGCAGCGTCGCCGTTATCTCCATCGTCGCTCACGAACGACGCGATAGGCCCACCCGGAAATACGTAGTCCAAGTCAGAGCCGTACACCTGCGGTAATCGATGAGCGTCCGCAATGCGCAATAATGGGGAGTAAGTGCTCACGTCGACCTTGATACCCGCGTCATCTGGGCTATATGCGCCGGGAAAGCTAACTGTGGTGTTAGGGACGCCATTTCCATTACCGGTGACGTTGAGCTGGATGCAGGTGACATAGAACTCGACGTCCCCCGACATCGCGCCCTGCAGAGCTATGATCTAATGGAGAATTCAGCATGCGGTAGCGAAGCCAGTGCTGCACACGGCAGCGCACCTCGGGCCGGAGGAGATACCCGCCCGACTTCAGGTTGTCTGGGAGCGAGAAGGAGTACGGCTGCCCTGTCACTACGTCCGCACGCTCAGCATGTAGGATTACACGGCCATAGAATTAGTAAAGGTGCTCACTGAGGTCTCCTTGGACCCAGCTCTTGCTGAACTTGACCTTCTGGCCCGCCTGTGCGATCTTAGCCCACTTCGCGGTTGAGCCGTCGGTTTGGGCACAAGGAGTGCCCTCGCATGACGCGATATATATCATGATCGGGCCAACGTTATGGAACCACTAGAGGCGACGGCGTCAGCGCCGCCCTGCACAAAGTCCGTATATATGCAAGCGCTACGCACATACGATGGAGGCGGCTCTGTCGAAGCCCAGTCGATGGAGATGTTGCTTCCAGGGTGTGCAGGGACGGTCAGCGCGGCGGGCTGCACATCTAGCCCACACGCGAGGTTCGGGTCTGTCGTAGACGTGATCGGGCTCGTGGTAGCGATTTGGCGGATGGGACTGTCTATTGGTACTGTGATGCAAGGATTCGGTGAGCACAGTCACGTCGTCCTGGTTGTAGCTATTGGGACATACCTGGCTGTTGCTCTCTGGGTGGGTTGCCCTGGTATGACTTGCCGTCGATCGTCAAGGTTCGCACATAGCCATGCGCGTCAGCAAGGGCTGCTAGCGCGAGCAGGGCGCATATAGAGCGGAGGGAGGGTAACATGATTGGGAAGAGGGAGGGTGTTGAAGTCTCGTGGTTCTGAAGGGAACGTATGGCCCACTTGCCAGAAGGGGTTCTGAAGGATACGCGTGTTGAGGGTTGAGCTGCGTTCACGCTCATACTTATACCAGAACACGATGCGTTAGGGGAGCGAGGGCGCTGGAGGGTATAGCATGGTCAGAGAGCTATTGACCTACCGCTCGGCAATAGGCAAGGATTGAGTAAAATCAGAACCGGACGGCCATCGTATAGTAGTACTTGCAATTGATAATGGGCGCTGTGTAGCCTTGTGGGCGCGTCGGGACGGGGGTGTTGAAGGTATAGATACAGTCAGACGAGTTCTACTTCGCCTCGCAATAGCAGTTGTTCAACCACATAATAGGGCACTAGAGATATCTGTCCCCTCTGCATCTCTGACATCGTGCCACTGGAAAAGACTGTGTCAGGCGATCGAGACTAGAACAGTAGGGTGTGGCGACGCACTCTGGTAGTCGCATAGGCGGACAGTCTTGCAATGCGTGCGCGAACACGGGTCGGAGTTTGTCTGGCTCTGCAGCTGTATCACCGCCTTATTAGTACAGTTAATATGGGATGGACATAGAAACGAACTCATGGGGGGCATGAATGCGACGTTGTCCTCCATCGACCTCTGCTGTTCAGGCAGGCTTTGCAGCACGGATTGGTTGAAGTGGTACTCCACAAGCTGCGAATATCTGTAGACAACCTCTGGAGTTAATTTGAGTAGAACGCACTACTCAACGGCCACGGGCACCTTCGGGCGTGATCCAGTTCTGCTTTAGACAGCTTCTCGTGAATATCAGGTGTAGAGCTGATGTACCTCGCGTGCTTTTCGATCTGGAAGCGACCGCATATAGTCACATATGTACGCCACGTTTGACATGGAATAACGCACCTTGTGTAATCTTGTGCGAATGTATGATCGAATCACAAACTTGACGCGCTCTACCTCGGTTTGGACGAGCATTATACGAAAGTGCTCTTCCTCCGAAGAATCTGGGTCCGCGCGTAGGAGCTCCACATCGTTGGACTAGAACTAGACGTCATCAATCAATGTCACTTTCGAAGACACGTCCCCCAGAACCACATCTGCCTGTGTCTTGCTAGCCACATCGCGCCCCGCAGAAACTCATTGCTCACCTGTTTCCGAATGTGATCCAACAGCCGGCCGAGCAGCATTTCCTGGCCCGGAAGGATGTCTGGTGCGTGTCTTTCGTTCATCCAGTGCCGTATGAGTTGCTGGAAAGGCGTCTCTTCTGCTAAGTCCTGCGGGATAATTCCTGGCCGACCCTCTCGGATGGGGAAGTCATCGTCGTCTGGAGCTATGCGTGCGCGGTCAACAAAGGAGGGCCCCGCCATGGGCGCGTCAAAGTCATCGTCCCAGCCAGTAGCCATGATAGTGAGCAAGAAGTGGTGGTGGTGGTGGTGGTGGTGGGTTGAGGTCAAGGTGCAAGACGCGTCGGACGCGTCGTGGCGCGCGTGTATACACCTTTAGGCGCCAAAATCTGGGGAGCATGATCGCGACGCCGCGCGCGGGCAATAGCTAGACATGCTCTCAGTATACCAGCGCGGTACTCGGTCTACATGCCCGCAGCTAGGAAGTGTACTTGACCATTGAAATATTGAAGTCTCGTAGAGCAGTGCGAAGGCGTTCCCTTACGTGGTCCGATGGAAGAAACCTCCAAGACAGGTGAGACATACAACATGTACAGAAACGCCACTCAAAAAACAGCAACGACAATAATCGTACAACATACAGCGATACTGCTCCGGACTCAACCTTCCCACTCGTCGTCATCATCATCTCGTCGCGAGCGCCCACCGCCGAGAGCGCCCTCGTCCTCATCGTCCTCTCGGCCCTCATCCACCTCCATCTCGCGCTCCTCTTCCTTCTCTTCCTCCTCCTTCTCCTTGTCTGCAGCCTTCTTTCTCCTCCGCTTCGGCGCCGGCTTCTCGCCACCATTAGCGTCGGCCGCGGCCTTCTTGTCCTTGCCCTTTCCACGCTTCTTCCCGCGTTCAGCGTTCTCGGCTTCAATGTCGATAGTCCCGCCGGCTGACGGGTCGGGGACAGTCTCGACAATCTCCTTGAGGAAGTCCAGCATGTCGACAGTGTCAATGGCGTGCTTCCTGGGAGAGGGTCAAACATGTGAAACATGCGCGCATGAACAAGGACGTACAGGTGATAGGCTTCGACTCTCTTCGAGCCGCGGTCAACCGTGACATTGCTCGCCTCTTCGACGATCATAGCCAGAAATAACTCCAAAGCTTTTGCTGTCCGGGTGGCAAGCGTTCGCGTAGGGCGGGCCAATTGGACGATGCGCAAGCATGGAAGTGTACCGTTGAAGCTTTATTTGTCAAACATGGCAATGATAAACTCACAGATAACCACAGGCGTAGCCTGCGCTACCTTGCCTACTTCCTCATCCTTCTGCATAATACGCTTGATACGCGCCTGGAAATAGTCAAGAGAGACGCGCCATATAGGGCCAGTTCAGGAAGGACAGGTCAACCGATGATGCAATTCACATTCAGAATAAGCTGATAGAATTTGTGAGGAGCTGCGTACAACTGGGAACTTAGTGGTCTTGTTCTTATTCTTCATGTTGGGTGGGATTAGTGTCGGTGGTGGTGGTGGTGGTGGTACAAGGACGAGAAGTGGCTGCATTGCCGCCGCTGCAATGATCGCTATACTCCAGCGGCTGAAATGTGCTGTGCACAATACAAAATGATATATTACATGTACCTTAGCCAAAGTCAACACACCGATGGTGAAGTGGTTATCATGCTTGCCTTCCATCTGCGCCTGGCAGTGTAAGCAAGCGGCACGGGTTCGATTCCCGTTCGGTGTAAGCTCAGTGACTCCTTTTTTTTCTTTGACCTCCAGAGTCCAAAGGTCATGCTTCTGTGCATCCATTGCATCCCCGAGCCTGTGGCTCTGTTGTTCGCTAGCTACTTATGCGCTCCCCTTCCACTCATCAGCTTCCTGCTGCATCTCCCACTTCCCCCTTCTCACTTGGCTCCAGACCTCAGCAAAATCGCATGGGTCTCGCTGGTACCAAACACAAGATCCGTCCTTTGAAGAGGAGGAAACTCGGACTCTCTGATTCTTCCGTACTCTCTTCATCAGCATCGCTGAAGCCACCCATCAACATCGAGCTACCTATATGCGCCTCCTGCCATCGTTCATTCACAGGCTCTAGGAGGAATCAACTGGCACAGTGTGCACGGTATGTACCCTTCTACATGTCAATCTCCGCCCTCTGCGTGTGCTCGGGAGCATTGTAATATTGCCGACACTTCATCTGGACCTCTCGTTAAGGTTGAGGGGGATATCTGCTGACGACCCATGCAGATGCCACGAACCGACTTGCACGATCTGCTCGCGGACGTGTAACGGCTGTCCGCCCTCGGTGCCACCTACACCCGCGCTAACGCGCACGGCTTCACCGTCGAGCGCCCCGACTACGCCACTGCTGTCTCCCCATCAGCCGACGGAGGAGCCTAGCATGGTCGTAGCGAGTGCACAAGACCGGGCGGCGCATTCGACTGTCGCGGGTAGGAGGAGGAAGGCACGTGATCTCGATCAGGAAGACGAAGTTTCGAGCGCGGGGCAGGCGGGGTACGAAGGGATGGAAGGTGTGGGGGAGGTGCTGCCTGGGTGCGGTCGGACGGTGTGTCAGAAATGCGCGTTCGAAACTCCCGAGAGGTACGCGGCCGCCGAGTATATGCGCCGTGGCTTTCATCTACTGACCACATCGTGTTGTCAGCGACCTCACGACGTGCTTTGACTGTGCCGCTCTGTACAGAGGCTCCGACTAGGGCCTCCCCCCGACCCTCGTCCGTTCCTATGGACCTCTATCCGGAAACCTCGGTCCTCTGCTTGATGCTCTCCTTTGCTCTACGCCCCCCCCCCTTCATATATGCATATCTACCTCTCACTATCTCACACACGAGCCACCTAATTCCGTATCTTGCTTCATCCCTCATCATCGTATGCTATCCGTTCCTGCACGTGTACTGTACAACCTCTCCAGCATATCTCATGTTAATCCGTTTGCGAACGCCGCGTTGGATTTTAGCCTCCCATACTCGCCCTTGCGCCGTGAGGGCGAGGCTTTGACGGTCAACATACGCATCTCATACATATGGTACTGCGTTGGTGCGTCACTCTTTTCTTCTCTTTGTATCCTCGTTTATTGCCCGGATGGTGTATTCAATTATACAGGCCGTTTCAGTGCGTTCATCGTCGTCGAACCAGGCCCGGCATGATCCAGAAAACTGTTCTGTCAAGCCCATGTCGTGTGTGGCGCTGCGATTGTTCTGAGTTTTACTGGCAGATCATCATATGCAACAAACTGGGTTTCGGTCGCCAGCGAGTACGTCAAGTACACCAGACAGTCGCTGTGAGTTCCCGATATTTGTAAAACTTTCCGCTGCTCTGCCTCGTTTGCTAGTGCGCGTGCGGGCCAGACGCGAGCAGACGCGCCGCGACTGCGCGTATATGACCCGAACGGTCACACACACGCGTAGACACGCGCCGTGTGACGACCGCGTGCCCGCCGATCGCGTTTCGCACGCGCGCGCGTCGCAGGGGCTGGTCCTGCACCACCATCATCGCCATTCGCGACCGTGCATTGGAACTGAGGGCGAGTCCACCTATCGTGTGTTTCTTCAAGTGACGAGACATACATATACGCTCACGCTTGTTTGTCCAGATTGCAAGCGCTTATGAATACCCCACCGCTCGACCTCATTGGAGAGCCTTTCGCCGTGATTGAGTCCGATCCCGGTAAGTCGCAACTGTTGTGTTCAAAAGGAGACCAAAGGGTCTTGCTAAATAAAACCCGCTGGAAGGGGTATTTACCACCCTGATCCGTAAACTCGGCGTGCAGGGCCTGGAAGTTGTCGAGCTCTACAGCGTGGAGCCGTACGAGACGGACCATCTCAATCCCTACGGCCTGATTTTCTGCTACCTTTGCGACAGTGGCGACGACACAGCAGACCAGCTTGCTGGGAATGAAGAGTTCGATGACCCAGATGCACGCTCCATCTGGTTCGCAAACCAGCTCAGCGATGACGCCTGTGCCTCACAAGCCATTTTGAATGTCTTGCTCAATTGCAAGGACATTGATATCGGACCGGCACTGAATGAGTTCGCAACTGATACAGATCGGATGTCTGCTGTGGTAGGCGATCGCTCGAAATGTCGTAAATACTTTTGTTGAACAACACCTAGATGCGGGGCCTCTCCGTCTCCAACATGGCCCTCGTCCGGGAAGCACAGAACTCGCTGGCGCGGTACGTGCGCTTCGCTTCTCGATGTCCGTCTCGTTGATTGAACTTCTCATCTCGAAGGCCGGCAGACCTTCGCGGCGCGCGCCACGCACTCGCCTCCTCGGCCCTCGAGTCCGCCAAAGCCAAGGCAAAGGCCTCCGCTTCCCCGCCGTTCAAGAAGCGCAAGACCGCCGCCTCGTCCTCCCGCCGAAAGCGAAAGGCCGCATCAGCGAGGGCAGACGAGAAGCTCGACGCCTACCATTACATCGGGTACGTGCCCGCGCATGGACGTGTGTGGGAGCTCGACGGGCTCCGCACCGCTGGCCCGCTCGACGTGGGGGAGATCGACTCGGACGACCTCACGTCGCGCGCCGGGTGGATGGACATCGTACGCCCCGCGCTACAGAGGCGCATGCAGACGGTGCTGCACAGTGGGTCGGAGCACATACAGTATAACCTGCTCGCAATTGTGGACGACCAGTATTTGCGGGCGAGCGACGAGCTGGAGATGCTGAAGAGGAAGCGCGCGGCGATTGAGAGGCGGCTCGCGCAGTCCTACACGGAAGGCTGGTCTGATAAGGTACGGGGCTGTCCACCCGCCACGCGTGGCAGCGTAGCAGAAGCACTAACCTCGCCGTCCATTGCGCAGGTGGACCCGGCGTTGCTCGCCTCCCCATCTGAAGCGTTCGCCACCACGCTTCGCCCGCGCGCGCAGGAGGCCGGGAAGGTGTTCGCGCCGGACTTTGGGGCGCGCAAGATGGAGAAGGAGCTCGCGATCCTAGACATGCCGGAGCGCAAGCTGGTCCCGGCATGGGAGAACTGCGTGCGGGCCGCGCTATCGGCCAAGGTCGCAGTCGAAGAGGAGACAGAGAAGTCGCGGCGTGCGCAGGTGCGTGCGTTTTTGATCCCTTTTCGTCTCGTTCGGCCCCTTCGAGAATGAGCTGCCTGCGGCGCTCGACGTCCACGGAGGTTCAGCGCTGGTTGATAGGACCCGAGTGGCACGAGGAGCGTGTGCTCCTCTGCGTTCTGTTTCTCGCCCGATCACCGTCCAGCGGACCGCGCCCAGTATATGGCGGGCGTTTTGCTACCCGTTCCCGTGGCTCCGGTATGCGGTTCCTGTACGCGGTTCCTTATGACTCTTTGCAAGAACGGTGCCCGCTGGCTACCAGACGACACTATCATGAAGCTTGCCTAGAGCTCTAGAGATGTATGACCTCTACTCGTCGTGTATATGAGCTCCCGGCGGCGCTTGTGGGGAACCAAAAGCCGACCGTTCCACCCCATCCGCTGGCCTTACCGGTCGTGCGAAAATATACGTGCGACACTCTCGCGAGGGACCAGTCTCTATGAAAGGAGCTGTTACGCCCGCAGCAGGGCAGCGGGGACCTGATCCGTTCAGGGGCAGCTGACTGACCGCAATGCTTGTTCCACGCAGGCAGATCATGTTCGGCGGACGTTCGACTATGAGCCGTTCATACGAGAATTCATCATCGCCCTGGAGAACGAGGGCTTGCTGGAGGATGCCCTGCAGGATCCGAAAGCCGGCGGCCGCGTAGAAGCGCAGGATCGACCCGGGCCGTCATCGAAAGCCACGAAAAAGAAGAAGTAATCCCATTACGGTTGTTGTTGCATATTTCCAGAGACAAAGCACGTATGTACTTGAATCGTGTACGCCAGATACTCAGCATATGTCAGTCTTGAAACTGCTAGCGAGAGAACAGCCCCGGCGACCTCTTAGTCTATTCCTCGGCGGAACATGAGACTTTGCCAGTTGCGTCTGGGCCTCCGCAGTTACCATTCTTGAAGGTGAGTGGGAAGGTGCATTGTATGGGAGGGCGTACGCTGACTTCTTGCGATAGTGTGTGCACCGCCGGTACCATGCTGTAGAGTCGTGGTTGCGTGTGCATGACAACCCGGCCGCTTGCTCGCTCCTTTGACGCGTTTCCCTCGCGATCCAAATGGGATGCTCGCCCATGTTCACTCCCCGCCAGCGACGGGAATGTTGCCCACCGTTTATATCCTCCGCTTGTGGACCTCTGGACCGCGTCGTCGGACCCGGGTCCATAGATCTATTGAGCCCTGGGCGAACGTACTTTGCGAACTGAGGAATGTTGCGGTTCACCCCCGTGCGTTGTATTGCTAGCCATCTTTAAGCTAAGAACTTTTCTGCAATTACTGAGGATGATGGAGAAACCTGGGCTGGGCTGGTGATGATGGGAACGAAGAAGTTGGTGTAACGGTCGGGCCCGCACCAAAAACGCGGGACGAGCGCCTTTTTCGGGTATTCCTCATCTCAATCTCCTGGAACTTCCCCACCCTCTCCTCACCTTCTCCACGACCGTCGCTGCTTGTGTGCATGAGGTGACGCTCGGATCGTATGTAAAGCTGGCGCTGCAGCTGAACCGACTGCCGATTCGTGGAACACCGCTCATTACGTGAACGCACGGTCGCTACGAGACCACTCTCGGCTTCGATCACCTTTGTTCCCCTTCTCCCTGTTCTCTCATTCTCGATGAGCTCGACGTCCCCCGCGAGCCCCGCCTCCTTTGCAAGGCCGCAGCGGGTCGACAACAAT